GAGAGCTGACATTGTTTTCCTCTGGGTCTTGCTCTCTCTTGCTTTCTTCACCCCTCCATCTTTCTGTCTCCTCGATTGCCCATATTTGCCGTTCTCTCTCCGGGCTGGACACTTTGTCCTCACGCTCCCTGTCTCCTTCTCCTCATGCCAGTCCTTCTCCTCCTCCTCCTCCCCCTCCTCCTCTCTGCCTGGGCCCAGTGTGAGTGATAAATTATTCGTGGGCATGCTCGGAGGGCCCAGGGCTTCTCATTCCTGCACACAGAGGACTAGCATTGATCCAGCCTGTGGTTCAACTTAATTGGAAACCCAGTTATACCAGCTACAGACACACTCGCGCACAAAAACACAGCGCGCACACGCATGAACATGCACTTCCAGACACTCCACGTACAGTAAAGCCACATTCAGACACACATATGGACTGTTGTATGGTAGAGTATTACACCTGTGTGTAGATGCATGTTTGTTATACATGTTTAGTGTCAACGTTATTACACAAAACACACATATATGTCTCGTTTCTTTTCTTAATGCTTTGAAATGCTGCACAATTAACATTTTTAAGTGTTTCACATCAGCTGTGTTTTACAGCAAAAATACTAAAAAACCCAAAATTTCATACAAGTGCGTATTGTATCTAAAATACAAGAATAAGTAGGTAAGTATACACACAGACACACGCACAAGCACACACTTTTTATTGCCACTAAGCCTGCATTCTAAGCAGCACTAAAGAGGAGTAACAGTCCACAGTGGAGCAATATGGAGGCCCAGGTTTATCGATTGGACTGAGACACTGACTATCATACAGCTAATAGATTACATCAGACACATCGAAGCGGCCCAGTCAATGAGGCCTGATCCTATTAACTGGGGATTTGTAAACAGTTGTGTGCTCACTGTGATGGCTGCTGTGCTGCTTTGTGAGCCTTGGCGAGGAGATGACGGCTGTTAGGGTTTGAGGGGCTGCTCGTATACAGCCGCACTCTGCCCCCGCAGACCAGCGATCACTCTGCTCCTCTATTCCGAATGTCGCAGTTTAGCTCACAGAAGACGACGCTGTCAGCAATTATAATTTCACACTAGTGAAAACAGCTTCGACAGAGTAAGATAATCCATGACAGGAAACATGAGTTCTTCCCCGTATTTTCTTAGTTTGTTGTGTACGAGTTGTCGTATGTTTGTCCTATGTGCAGCAGAAGTAATCCCAGCATTCTTTTCGAAACATTTCAGCTTAAAGGCTTAAAGTCAGAGCGGCATTTAAAAAGAAAAAAAAAGTTGGGATTAGTTCATTTCAGTAGAATCAGGTAAGTGCTGGTGTTGTGTGCAGTCATCGTGACAGAGTTAAAGCTACAAATACAATCTTTAGGAAAGTATGTTAACTGGAGAGCTTTGGTATCTGCCTAGCAAACAACAGTCAATCAGTTCTCAGTCCCAAATCAGGACACTCTGTTGGTCAGGGTCAGCATCATGTTCTAACACAGCAGGTGTTTCCAAAGTGTAATATAAACTCTATAGTCAGACAGAGTTTAATAGGAGTCCCTCTATATCTGAAATGGACACCATGAGGCTCCAATCAAAAAGTGCCCTGCTGGTGTTTTTACTGATGTGGCACATTTAACTGTGATAACAAAACTTGCAGATTGGAGATGTTTTTCTTATAATAAGCAGTTAATGCTGTGAAAGAGAACTTTGTTTTTTAAACTTAATAATGAAATGTGGTATCTTCACTCAATAGTGACTGAAAATTCAAGTTATAAACAAAAGTAAAATCATGGTCCCAGACAGGACGCTCGTCTTCTGGCTGATTTTCATGTAATCACCTGCTTTCTGTATGGTAAAATGGTAAACAGTGCTGTGCTTGCTGGAAATAATGATAAAGGTACATCAAAAAGAATGGGATGCTATCATGGTACCTGTTGCCTTAAAGTATGACCAGAAAGGCTTCTAGGCAGGAACAGTATGTGATGAGTCCAGAGATGAAACAGCATATTGCTGCTACCTTGACATCTATTGTATTTCACTACCTAGTCCTTCACTATAAACGTCTACTGCAGCCTGTTTTGCAAGCTAGCACGAGTAACGGTTTTATCTATGCTTTTTTGATTTTGTATATGACATTTGTAGATAATAGCTGATCGCATTTCTGGTGGGGATGCACCAAAGTGTACATTGGTAATAGCGCTGTTAAATGGCATCAAACCAGATATGACATTTACTCACTGCAGTAGCAGTCAGTCTGCAGTTAAATGCTTTTCTAAGCGCACTAAAAATACAAAATAGTAACAGCTTCAAAAAGAATCCCCCTTAGACTTTACCATGTTGCTGTTACTTGATGCATTTCAACTTTAGGCAATGTTTTCCCACAAATGTTTTTGGTTAAACTCTATGTGTGAGGCTGCATCCATCCATCCCTTTTCTCCCACTTATTCAGTTCAGTGTCACGAGGAGGCTGGAGCTGCTATAGGGTGATAGGGGACAACTTAGACAGGTTGCCAACACAGAGAGGCACCAATAATCACATTCACACCTATGGCCCGTTTAGAATCACCAGTTGAACCTAACACCACTAACTGTGGACTGTGGGAGTAAGCCAGAGTGCCCAGGAAGAATCTACACAGACTCGGGGAAAACATGCAAACTCCACACATAAAGGCTGTGGATGGTGGATTTGAACCCAGGACCTTCTGCTAGGCAACAGTGCTACCCACTAATCCACTGTTCCACCATACAATAGGTGGTCAAAAATATAAATACATCTAGGATGTCATAAATAATTAGTGGATTAACTAGAGATGTTGGCAAAACTTAGTTTTGAAACCATCATTAACTTGTATTGTTCTACTTTAATAGTGCTTTGAACTTGTGGCAACTAAACTAAAAGCAGTGGAAAGAAAGAAACACACATCTAGCATTCCTACAAAGAGCTCCTGCAGGGGGAAAAACCCAGCCACCTCTGTCTGAAATAAACCTCACAAGTTAACAGCTCAGTTCATCTTAAGTCCATTACAGCATAAGCAATAGTTCTGTTTAACCAGCACTATGGCGGATGCTGGTCGTGGGGTTTTCATATTAATTTCGTGGCCTAAACCTATTCACACGTCCCTTCAGGGGCTGTGCTGCAAAGAGGAGTGAAAACACTGTGAAAGAGAGAGAGAGCGGGAGAGAAAGAAAGGGAGATAGCAGCACTGCGCTCTCAGCCAACAGTGTGTTTTTAAGAGCAAAACGACTTTTCCAAAATAAATAGATCTGTGTCGCTGACTGCTAGGAGAGAGAAAAGCCCTCGGTTCAATAATTAATTCCCGAGTCGAGGGTTTTGGAGAGCCGCTGATTGGGCTGATTTTTTCTTTTTTTTATTCTGTTATGATACAAAGGAGGCCGTTTGAAGTAATTTGTCCCAGAGAGAGCAGCTTGGAATACCATACATGCTTTGATTTAGCAAAGCAAATTTAATTTTGTTTGCTTTATGCAAACCAGCCGGGGCCGCGGGGCTTTCTCTGATTCCACCAGAGGGGTGATGGTGGTGGTGGTGGTGCTGATGATAGAGGTGGGGGAGTGCACACAACAGAATCACGCTGCTGCTGCTAATATATAATACAGACCGCACACTCGCACACAGATACGCACGCACACACATGCACGCGGTGAGCAGCAACAGTTCAAAAGTACAAAGCTTACACACCACCCCACGCACACACGCGCACAGTCCAATCCCTTTGAAATCAAAGCTTAAAATAATTGTTTGTGCGTTGTGTTTTGTTTCATTCTATCCGTCTATTATTAGTGTTACTGGTATTATTCCTATCATGTTGTTTTAGCTGCTTGTTCGTGCTGCTTGCCAGGGTTTTGTTTTATGCTGCTAATGAAAGCTTCTCTCCCCGCTTTTGTTCTGCTTTATTTTTTTCAAATACGTGAATGGAATACATCTGTTTATATCTGCGCCTGATATTTCCCAAGATGTCTAACACCCAGCAGCACAATAATGAAGAGGCTACTTGTGGGTTTTTTCCCCCTTTTACTTTCCAAAGGCCTTTTTTTAAAAAAAATCTCCACGTCTTAGTGCAGATTTCGCCGTTGACTGAGACGTTACACCTTAGCGCGGAGCCGGATGCATGCATGATGTGTTGCAGTTTTATCATTAATGATGGGAGAAATTAGCTGTGTAGTATACCTTTAATTACCTTCCTTCTATCCTTCTGTACTGGAGAAATGAGTGCCTGTGTACAGATGTTGAGGCACACAGCAGAAGCGTTTCTCCTCAGGAACAGGAAAAAAAAAAGAAAAGGTGTTCAGAATGGGTAGCCAAGCGGTTTTCTTATGCTCCATTCAAGTCATTTTCTTAGGGAACAATAATGAGTGGATAAAGCAGAAAAACCCAATTTCCTTTATGCTTTTTATATCCTGAAAAAGCCCTCATTGACGACCCTTTGGTCTTTTGTTATAGAAAACTGAGCTAATATCCTCCAGCTCTCTGCACAGTTTAAAGGTCTTAATTGGATTCCATTAGTATATTGCTTGACATGACACTTGAGTCCGCTCCATTAGAATTCCCCTGCCCAGGATTAAAAAGAAGATTTTTTCTACATTCGACTCTCTTGGCTCTTTTGTTAAAGTCTCATATATTCTTTGTTGGATTCACAGTTTTTAGTGACACCATTATTAAAAATGTAAGCTTGACTTTAAGTAGGTGCTTTTATGTCTAGAGGACCTGCTATTAAAGGTATGGCAGCGTCTCATCGCGGCAGTTTATGTATCAATAAACCTTTGCATTAATACAGTGCAAGCTTTACATGTGGGCCTGATAAAGTGTGTTGTACGCCCCATAAAACCGTCCTCCAGCTTTTTTCTGCACAAGACTGGAGCGCTGAGCTCCCTGCAGGTTTCTTTTCAGAGTATCACACAGAGTTGAAGTGTTTCCTCTGTGGTTTCAGTCGGTGTAGAACACAGGCCGAAAGGAAAGATGCGTTTGATGATATTCTGTTTTATGTCTCTTGCCCTAGTCCTGAGCTGACGTGGAGGGATGTTCAGCATCTGATCGCCAAGACAGCAAAGATCCCCGACCCTAAAGAGCCTGGCTGGAACATCAATGCAGCAGGATACCATGTTCACCATAGGTACCGTAAAACATGCATGCAACACAAACATGTGGCGTTACCACTGGGATTAGTCCCAGCAGTCTGCCAGCATCTCGCCTACTTAGCTTACTAGTAAACTAATTCATGTATTAATCAGTCGCATTAATCATTAGGTCTATAGATTTTTATGAGTACATAGCTGAAACACTTGTTTTTTCTTACCCCAAGGTTGTGCAGACGGCACAGACTTTATAAAATCATTTCTCCAGTCCAAGAAAAATTGCAAAAATATAACCCCCATGGGCGTCGTAAGGACCTTGAAATATTTGGTGGTGGGTGGGGATGGCTCTGCCCAGCCCTGAAATTTTTTAGATTTTCACCCAATAAATTTTTAAGCGTATATATGAGAAAAATGAATGTAGTAAAGGTTCCTAAGATGGTTCCCTAGCATAAAGTGTAAAAAACAAAACAAGTGCAGTCTAACTTCCCTTTCATCTTCATTGTCATGTTTATTTCCAACAGTAAGAGGAGAACAGAAGAATTATAGCCGTGATGTAAATAAAGCAGTCATAGGCTTGACTGCACGTTGCCAATACTTCAAAATAAAACTGACCAATCCGGATCTCCCGAGCTTCTGTTTCTCTTGTGCGACAACGGCCCTGTTTGAGCTGTGACGAAAATGAACTGTGACGAAAATGAACTGTGACAAACTGCGTTAACTCTGTGTGTTATCTATCTGATACCCTCCTCTTCTTCACCTCTCCAGGAGCTCTTTTTGGTGTCTCATCTCTCTGTGACACTCCTTATCTGCTCTGCTGTCTCCTCCTCTTCTCTTCGCCTCCTGATTAGATTATAAAATGTTTCTTAGTCAGTTTATTTTATATGTAGATAGACAAAAGGCAAATGTTGTCTTTTTCTTCTGTATAATCATATGGAAAAGGTTTCCCTTCATGATGTTTATATAATACAAAACCACTTCAGAACCTCTGAGCTCGATTGGCTAGCATAAGTGCTCTCTTGTTCATGAACCTCAGCTTGTAGATGACTCATCTGCTGCAACAGCAACAGGAGACAACGCCTCCCTCACCTCCTCTGACCTCACTTGCACCTCATTGCCTTATACCTCCTTTTTATGTTTTTTATTTTTAAAAAAGGGTTATTATAACTATTGACATCAGCTGCCAACAATGACTCACTCAGCTCTCTCACTGTTTTCAGATTGTCTGTCCCATTCTCGTCAACACAATATCTCGAATTTAGCATCAACAATAACTTGTATTCAATGATTAACTAATTACATTCTGGTTGCCAGCATCACTATAAATATTTCTGGCAATAGCCTATAATTACCAAACTTCAAATAAATATTCAATAGGAAGAACAGATGACATCATATATCCACTGAATGATTTAAATAGTTTTGTGCATCTCCTGTGGCAGATGAATTGTACAGTCGCTTTATCTGTAAATATTCTCACTCTCCAATATTTTCCTATGTAACAAATATTTTATTTAACTAAAATGTGTTATCTGGCCAAATAATTTCATTAAATTCATTTCAAATCAATTTAGTTATATTTATATAGCACCAAATCCCAGCAACAGTTGCCTCAAGGCACTTTACATTGTAAGATGAAAACCCTACAGTAATACAGAGAAACCCCAAACAATCAGAAGGCCCCCTTTGAATAAGCACTTGGTGAAAGCAGGAAGGAAAACCTGCCTTTTAACAGGAAGAAACCTCGGGGAGGCTCAGGGAGGTTTTTAATTTGATACCATAAGTGCATCTCCTAAAAATGGGTGACCTTAACCTCAAGGTCAGAGGTCAAGTTTTCTGAAAATCTTCTGAACATGATAACTCCAAAGAGATGTCATCTGGGCTTTCCAAATTTATACCATTGGTACATCTACTAGGAGACTGAGGGGTAGCACAGGCGGTATCAGTATTTTGGAATTTGTAGTGTGAACGATTAGTGACCTAGTTTCAGTTACTAAAAGTTGATATCAAATTACTGCGGGCAACGTGGTATAATGAGAAGTTGTAGCTGCTGTCAAAGGTACTAAAAATGTAAAAGTTTGTGCTGCTGTTGTGTAACAGTCATATTTGAAACTTTCTGACCTTTTTCTGCATATTTGTGAATTCAGAAATTCAGCAGTATTTCTTCATTTCTAAATACTTGTTTTTACTGCGGAAAAGCAAAGTAGTTCAAAATCATTATCTCCTACTGCCTGGGATTGAATAATTTTAATTAATTACAGTTATTACCGGTGACTTTTTGCCTCAATTGTAAATAACAGATAAAAAATGCAGATGAACCATCAGCTGCTGCTTTGTAGGATAACCATTGAAAACATCACTAAAACTTTGAAACTGCTATATTCAGAAGGGCACATCCTGTAAACTTGTCAGTCTCTATTTAGTCTGGGGCGTTATAGATACTTATGTTGGCCAATGAATCTATTGAGCTATATTAGAGAAATTAATTAATCTATTAAGTGGTTAGGCTCCGATGACCCATCATGGCAGAACAGAATCCCAATGATGATAAGGTTTAGGAAATGACTTCCCTGAAAGCTAGATGTTGGTGGTGGTGGCGGCTTGGATGGAGCTTTGAGAGACTCGAGTAAGGCAGAAATGAGGAGGAGGTGGGTTTCACAGGTAATATTCTGAAAGGGAGAATGTTGGAAGAGCGCTGAGATTTAAAGCACATATAGTGGAAGCTCATTGGCTCAATGAAGGTGGGCAAGAAGATGATTGGACTAGTGTAATGATGTCAGCATTGAGTTTGATAGTGTGGGAATGTGGAGGTGATGCAAAGAACAGTCTAACAACTGAACATCCGGGAAAGCAGTCAGGTGAGTGATTACAGATCTTCTTTTTCTGAAACTCCACACAAGCTTCATATTCAAAGATGGCAGCCAGTCAGTTAAATATAAACTGCTTAACTGATGACTGCATTTCAGTTTTCAGGTTTTCTTCCACACTGTATGGCCGACTGCTCACGTGCAGTATTTCACCTTTAGGTTTGTGAATATAAAGCTCATTTTGATTCATTGAGTATTGATAGTCTTGTCAATAGTTTTACTAGCATGTCTTTTATGTTTGTGCTCTTTGGGGAATATACTTAACCGACCGCTGGGGATTTTTTTTTTGTACTGCAACAGCACAAGTGGCCTCTTGGAAACACTGACAAGAAGGTTGAGTAGCAGCATCATGTCCAGCTCTCCATGTTTCCAACCAAGCTAGCAAACCAAAGAGTAGAAAAGAAGGATGAGATATATTACCCTTGAGTCTGGAAGTGAAAGTCTGGAAGTGAAAGTCTCACTCATTTTTGTTGCACTACTCTGTCTTTAATTGGCATGAAACTAATCAGAGCAGATATAAATTAAAATCTGATGCTGTCCACATCAACTGCATCAGAGAGCATAACCTTTATTATTATAGATGGATTACAAGCCAGATGAGAATTTTCACTCTGCCTATTGGCCAGATGTGTCTGGGGTGGAGCAAGAAAGGTAAATATAATAACAAAGTGCTTTTTTTTGGATTGTTAGAAAACATAAAGATTTTATGTTTGTTTTGCAGCTAGTTCTTAGCCTGTACTGACCTTTGCACGTCTATAGTATGTTGCCACATCCAAGCTTACCTGGCTATGGGAAGGTGTTTCGCTCAAACTTGCACTTACACCTGGTAGTTGGGTCGGACCACTTCCATACCACAATCAAGCTGGGCAAAAGGTCCACACCAAAGGGGGAAAACAAACCTGATTTAAACCGACTAAACACCACTGGTGTAAAAACATCTCAACCTATTCTGAACCAAAGTAGTCACCCCTATGCAGTCCCCTGTTGGCTTCACTTGCAATGCCCGGGAGCAGTGTCCATCTTTTATGTACAGTTTATATCTGAGAGTTAACCTCTAGCAGTGACCTGATGTGTGACACTGCAAACAAGGCAGGCTGAAGCCTTCACTGTGAACTGGGAGCTATAACCACATATAACCTCTGGCTTGATAACAAAATATAAGTAAGAGAAAATCTCCAAACACATTAACACATATTAACATTTTATCTGTTTAACCTTAGTACTCAGGTGTTAACATAACAACCAGACTTCTACTACCTATCCACTGATGCTGTTTCCACATGCGCGCACACACACATACACACCACTTTTGTCTGTGCTCACACCTCCACACTCTCCTCATATATAAAGTGCTTCAACCACAAAAAGCAGCAGTCTGTTTTATGACAGTTGAGACAGGTGATCTTGTCCGGGGAGGAGTGTCATTGTAATCCTCTAATGTTATTATCACACCCACAGCGTGTCTGAGTGTCCGTACCTGCAGTGATTTACAGACACAGGCTGGAGGGACTGGAGCTTCTCTCTCTCTCTCAATGTAGAACCAGAGCGAGCGAGCGAGAGAGAAACCCATGCTCTTCTAGACATCCCATAAACGGTTTTACAATGCTTTCACAGTGTCTGCCAGGCGATGACATACCGGTAATCAGTCATAGTGTTAGTGATGCTTTTCCCTCCTCACCGTCTCACTCACCTTAAACTTGCTTCTCTTCATCTTTGCTGTAACTAACACTCCTCGCCTCTCCTTTTCCCTTTTTGCTCGCTGTTATTCTCGCTCACTCCTTTCTTATTTCTCTCTTCCATCCCCTCTTTCGCAGCATGCCATGTCATAAAATAGATTGTAATTACTGTGTTGCTGTGAGAAGAATGGATTAATTAAAATATAATGATGCCGATCACACCAGCGGGCGTCTGTTGAAATCTGCCCATTTAGGGGCTATGGCAGAGGACTTGTAATGCCCTGATCATACTGCAGCGGCCACACTAATTATAAAGAATGGTTTATTACATGCGTCAGGACGGGTGGACCAGGTAGTGCCACAAGCACAGGGTCACTTACCATCAATAAGGTTGTTGCAATACATTAAAGATTAGATGTGATATCTGTAACGAGAGGATCCAGGTTTAAGAAAATTAAAGACAGTCCTGAAGCGCGTCGCTGTATGAGGTTAGACAAG